TACCCCTTAAAATCTTTTAGCGTATTTAGTATCCACCCTGTATATACATAACTATATTTTACAAATAAATGTTAATGCCGTTATCGTGATTATTATCGATTTGTTTTCATTACTGTTGTCATCGTGCCTAATCTTGCCATCTTTATTAGTATATTAATAAGTAAATATTTAGTTATATTTAATTGTTATCATCATTATTTGAATAGGATTTAATAAATGAAACAATACGATTTTTATAATCATAGTGTATATTTTATAAATCCACATAAAATATCTGATATGAAGCGAAAATGAGTAAAACGGGAGCATATTTGTATGTACAGCTAAGTATAAATGGATTAAAAAATATTTTTTTCAAAGTATATATCACATGACATCTGAAAGGCTGTGTTAGAATTATAAAATAAATATTATATGATTATAAATGTACATAATATAATTCACTATACTTTGTGCTGATTTAAACATCAAGAAGACACTGTATAAAAATAAATGTCTTCCCTATTTCATATATAGGCTTCTTTTATTACACGCATTAGAATAAAATAGAAACAAACATACAAATTATAAATTTCTTTCATTGGATAATTTCATTATGGATCTATTACAAAACATGTCTCACAATCGTGAAATTTTAATAGACGTAATCGATTTTGTTTTAAATTATAGCAGTTGTATGTACACAAAAATTTATAGAAATATTTGCTAACATGAATCGGGGCACTGATCGCATAAAATGTTGATTTGATTAACAATAACATTTAAGAGATTACGTTAAATGCATTTCATATAACAAATAATTATATTTATTATGGATTGTCAAATTTAAAAGAAATTAAGAAATAATAGGCATATATGAAATCACTGTTGCACGAGCGCTGAGACACGTTTTCAACCTTTTGGCCTACTAATAAGCTCTTATGGTATTATTACTTGTAGTTAAGGTACATACGTATGATATAGCATATACGATACGTCTACATATATATGTCTATACATGCATTCAAACTTACGTACACACACACGTATTAATAGGAATTCAATTCGATGTATATAGTTGTAATACAGGCTGCTATATTGCATATTGAAGATTAACGTGATGACATTATCGCCGTTATCGGTCGTAATCATTTTAAGAATATTTATTTGTATATAGCACAAAAAAGTCTAAACTACATCTTTAAGCTCTGAACATCGTTATAAAACAGATTTATGCGTCTTTTTGACATTCTACTTGTATTTGTAAAACGGACAATGTTTTACAGAAATGCTCGATTAAACACGTTCATTTCTTTCGATAACACACACACACACACACACACACGCGCGCGCACGCACGTACTCTCTCTTTCATTACAGTTTTTAATATCTAAATTAAAAAAAAAATCTTAATCTTATTAAATTACCTCTCTCCCAATTATAATGAAAGAATTCTGGCACAAGAAAAAATTATGGATTACATTATCAAAATCGTGTGTGTGTGTGTGTGTGGCTATAGAAATATTATAACAAAAAACTCGATTATACATTTTACCCCTAATCTAATTAAAATATTTTTAACGGTTTAATCTTAAAAATATATTCTTTGAATAAATATATATTCTTAAATATACTACGCATACGCATTCACGGTATTTAATTTAACATACTAAATGCTGATAATTCTGTTAAAATTATAGATTAATGACAATATTGCAATACATATTTATAAAACAAGCTAAAGATACGCGATCACGAATAAGATTAATAATAAATTTTTATTAATTCAGAAAACAAGATTTCTTTTAGTAAAAACTTTTGCATTCGATTTTGGGCATGTAATGATACATAGAATATAAAAGTTTTTATCTATGCCAAGCATTGCACATGGTTATTCAGTGTATATTTTTTACATTGATTTTTTTTAACTATAAAGCGGATAGATATTATATAGAATCTTCCACATATAATATGCATACATAATGCAATTATGCAATATATCAGAGCTGAGCATCATATTACATAATTTTTGTTCAATTCGCTATTCAAATAATATCTAATTTACTTGATTTTTTATCTAGATAAGGTTATTTAAATAAAGTCATTCTTTTTTATACGAATAATAATTATTTCTATAAATAATATGAGTATTATATTCGTTACAAATAAATTGAAATCCTTTATTATTCCTTCTTATTAGAATAAGAAAATTTTAGCCCATTTCTCTAATATTTTCTAATAAAAGCCTGTAGGCCTGATTTCTTTTCGCTATTTAAAAAATGAAATATAAAAAATGAAATAATTAAATATTTATAAAATAATTAAATATTATTTTAATTTATATAATACATATGAGAGAGAGAGAGAGAGAGAGAGAGAGAAGTGCGGGAATCAAACGTTCAAACTGTCTTCGGCTTGTCTGCAGTCGGTATCGGGGGCATTCTTCGAGGTTGGTGGTGCTCTAAAGCTGCTTTCAATGAGAGGGCTTGGGGTACGGCACGAAAAGGAGATTCCAGAATCGTGAGATTGCTCGTTTTGTCTGCGAAAATCCGATACACGCATTCCCGGAGGAGAGTTTCCGCCCATTCTTCGAGTCATTCTTCTTATTTCGAACCATCCTTGTAAAACGTTTCGCAGATTAAAAAAGCTGTTATTGCTCCTCATGAAGTCAAA